TGATTAACACCCTCCACAATAAAAATGATTAATCAACCTCTCATAATTACAAAAAAATGAACAAAATGAAAAATTATGATTGGTTGAATGCGGTTTGTACAAATTGAGTGGTTTGCATTTGATCGCTCCCCTATATATATATATATATATATATATATATATATTTGTAATTGGGTTGCCAATTGTTGAGTAAACGTTAGACTTGATTGTATTCATTTGTAGTTGGGTTGTCAATTGTTGGGCAAACATTAAGCTTAATTCATTTGGAAATATTCACTTTATACCCATTATGCCGCCAAATTTTTTTAAAAACATAGGATTCTCAACTCGTTCAAACATTTACATTTAGAGTTTTAAAGTCTAGTGCCAACAACCCTCTGTGTTTGGTACATGGGACGGGATAGGACAGAACGGAACAAAACTCACTGTCCCATGTTTGGCGCAACATGGAACAGAACAAGAACTCATTGTCCCACGTTTGGCGCGACATAGGACTGGGACAAGAACTGGGACAAGGTGGGACAACATGAGACAAAAGAGGTGTTTTCTTGTTCCACCAAAATTGGTGGAACAACATGGGACAAGAATGGGACAGAAACTAAAATATTACTAATCTACCCTAGTTCGATATATAACCTTAATATGGTATTTCTTTTAATGGTCATCACCAGTAGTTTCGGCCGTCGCCACCACTACCGGCGGCCACCTCCACCTCCACCTCCTCTTCCACTACAACAACATCCTCCACCGCCTTCACAACCACCATCCACCAAGTCCGTTGCCACGTCTATCATAGTCGACCACCGACCACCACCGTCCATTCCCACCACCACTACCGCTGTTCACCGCCTTCAACTCCTCCTCTACTGCAACAACCTCTTGCATGACCACCATCAGCCACCACCTTTCGTTGCCACCTCATCTCCACCATAACCACCACCACTATCTTCACTACATCAACCACAACTACCATCTTCATGTTCTCTATAACCATTATCACCACCATAACTACCACTGTTGTCAACCGCCATCACCATCACAATCTACCATCTTCATGTCCTCTATAACCACCGTCGTCCACCAAGCACCACCGCCTCTACCTCCATAACCACTGTCGGCCACCGACCACCACCGCCTGTTGCCACTACTACCGTCGGCCACCACCACTTCCACCGTAACCAAAACCACCTCCACCACCACAACTACTACCATCAATTATATCAAAATTTTCATTCAAATTTGGTACAAATATGAAAATTATATACAAATATTTATTCTTTATTATTTACTTTACTTTTGTTAATTATAACTATTATATAATATTTAAAAATCATCAAATAACTTTTAGGGGTAGCTTGTATAGTTCTGTCCCGTCTAGTCCTAGTCGTACCAAACACCAGACATACTCCTGTTATGTTCAGTCCTATCTCGTCCAGTCCAGTCCAGTCCTGTCCTGTCCAGTCCTACCCTCTTGACCTGTCCTGTTCGGTCCTGTTCAGTCCTGTTCAGTCCTGTCCAATTATGTCTGCGTACCAAACGCAAACTATGAGAGCAAAGTGTCGGAGGACGGAAGAAAGGCCGCATCTTTGGTTTCGGGACCACTCAGGATCCTTCTTATGCTATGACGGTAGATGTAGCATTAGCGAGTCATCATACGAGTCAAGAGCGGAGGTATGTTGTTTATATTGTTATAAACTTTCTCATTACTAAAATTGCGAACAAATTACTGATTTTCTCGAATATTGAATATTTATAGGTAAAGGAGTTGAGAGAGAATTTGTCAAGGGTAGAGGAAGAGGCATAGCTGTGGGAGGAACGCCATCTGACCGATATGGAGGACGAACGGAAGAAGAGGACATATTTGGAGGCCGAACAGGCGAGACAAGCTGCTGCATTAGCCGAACAGGCCGCCTTGTCGGATCATTTTGCTGCGTTTATGCGGCAGTCAGGATACGTTTTCCCTCTCCCCCACCTCCCGCTAGTTAGATTGTATGCATTTGAAGATTAAATTGTATGAATTGATTATTTTAAATTGCATGAATTGGATATTTTAAATCGTATGAATTGGTTAGTTTTAATTTGTTCACAGTTTTGGTTTGTTATATTATGGTCTGGTTTTGTATAAATAAATACAGGAATTATGTAATTTCAAAAAAATTATTTTTATAATAATACAAATTAGCGATGGATTAGCGAGGAAAAATCTGTCTGTTAGTCCCAAATTAATCAATCTTCATGTAAATCCTTCAAATCAACAATGGCAGAATATTATCTAATAAGAACATGTAGGAGAAAGAGAGAGACAAAGTCAATGCCCAATTCTTAGTCAAACTCTATTAACATAATTTGATGTATACAATGAATCTCACTACCAAGATTACAAAGAATCACCATATATATGGGGTCAAACTAGACAAAATACTCAAAGTCAAACTATCCTAATAAAAGTCAAACACGATAACTTTTATACAATTATAGACAATTTTATCTTTCAAGACGAATACAGTTGTATACATCAGATTATGTTAATAGAGTTTGACTAATAATTGGGCATTGACTTTCTCTCTCTCTTTTTTTAGGGTTCTTACAAGAAAACATATTCTGCCATTGAAGATTTGAAGCTTTCATGGAAGATTGATCATATTAGGGACACACACTGTCGCTAAAATCCCTTGAAAATTCCCTTGCTGATCCGTCGCTGAAAGTTCCCTCGCTGAAAGATCCCTCGCTGAAAGTTCCCTCACTGAAAGATCTGTTGCTGAAAGCATCTCTCACAAATCCGTTGCTGATATCCCTCGTTGACCCCTCGCTAAAGTTTTTCCCTCTTTGATTCGTCGCTGAAAGTATCCCTCGCAAATCCGTCACTGATATACGTTGCTGATAGCATTACTAACGAGCATTTAACCGACAGAGTATCAGCGATGGATGACCCTTTTAGCGACGGATTTGCGAGGGAAATTTCCCTTGCTGAAACTCTGCATTTTTGTAGTGAAATGAATATGAAAGGAACATATATTAGAGAAATTAATATGTCAAACTAGTAGATTATCTAGGTTACTAATTCATATTTTGTCATCAATGAAGAACTTTGGAACAATGACACATATATATTTCGACATGACCATGTGCGAAACCATAGTCATGACATAATGATCCGTGTATTGAAAAATATACATAGACACACTATCTTTTGAGTGAAAAACAAAATGAGTCAATTAACCAAATTGCAATTGTTGATTTTCGAAGCACAAAAAGTAACACCACCATCACAATATGCCTTCTAGAATACCTAGAACTTTTGTAAACCCTGATTCTTGGCCAAACAAAAATGAGATTTTAAATGGAACTATGACAGGATATGGATCAAATGACTCAGAATCATTTGATTCCAAAGTTCCATCCTTTTGAAGTTTGGTTATGCAATTTTTGTTTATGTGACCAAGGCGACAATGCCATAGATAAATTTGGTTTAAGTAATACTTAGACCGTTTGGTGTTTGCGGTGTAAATGGAACTATAATTAAATGAACTAGGTGTGTAAAAGATAAGAGACAGCTTGCAAATACTCGAGATCGACTTGGTCAAAACTTGGTCAACACTCAACTCGAATAGGATCGACTCGAACTCGAGCTCGACTCGACATATTAATGAGATGAGTCGAGCTATCCAATACTCGACTTAAAAAGAGATACTCGATTTTTTTTACATATATTAGTTTTAAAATATAATCGGTTTTATAATATAATTTGTAAAATATAATATAATAAAAAATTCTTATATTTTTAGATATTTGAACAAAATTATGCATTTTTTAAATATAGAAACTAATCAATTATTTTAGTATTAAATCATAATTAAAAAAGACAAAAAAAAAAACTATTGAAGTGTTGGTGAAAATGTCCCACTTTGGAAGAGAAATAGTAAAGGAATGGTGAAAAGGTGTTATAAAAAGAGAGGGAGGTGAATGCACTTTGTAACTTTGTCATTTTGAAGATGAAGTTTGAGGTGCATTCCTTTAGTTTTCTAAAATTTAAGAGAACATCTTTAAGTTTTATAATTTTTAAAAGAATACCCTAAAATTTCAAAACTTTTAATGGGTGAGAATGATTCGAGCTTGGTTCGAGTTAGAGTTCGAGCTTGGTTCGAGCTTAAAGAATTGCAATCGAGTTCGAGTTGAGTTTAGTTTTTAACTACTTGCGAGTTTTCGAGTTGAGTTCGAGTTTGAAAAATTACTATCGAGTTCGAGTCGAGTATATCGATACTCGAGCTCGACTCGCATCATTTACACCCCTGAGATGAACCATGCAAATCACTCTCATATATGCCATTGTGAGGTCGTGCCTTAAAATAAACAATATCACTTTTGGAAACTGAAATATTTTTTTTATAGAATCCAAAAGAGTAACATGATTCACATAGTTTTGAAGTAGAAATAATATTCTTAGTTAAACTAGATACAAAACAACAATTGTCTAATATGAAATACATATGCCATTAGGTAACAACAACTCAAAAGAAACTATGGCTTTGACTGCAACTTTTGCTCCATTGCCAACATGGAAATCCATTTCATTAGGCTTGAGCTGCCTACTTCTTTTGTGCCCCTGCACATTATTACAAATGTGAGTTCTACAACCAGTATCAAATACCCAAGATTTTGAAGTAAAACTAAAAAGCTTTTATCTATGGTCACGGAGGTTCAAATGCGGTGACTTCGGGCTATCTGCAAAGCAGGTGGTTGCCCTGGGATTAGTCGGCTCGCATAGCGGGTTGGATATCCATATTAATAAAAAAAACTAAAAAGTTTTATTATATAGATACCTTTTTGGCTAGTGCTTTTTTATCTTAGTAAGGTAGGCTGGGCAGTTTCGCCTCCAATGACCAACTTGATTGCAATGGAAGCAAGTGGCATCTTTGGCTACATTCTCTTTCTTTTTCTTGTGGGCTTGGGGTGCAACTTGAGGGACCTTCCCTTTACCCTTCCCCTTATATTTTTTCCCTTCCGGAGTGGTAGATGGTTTCTTGATTTTCCCTTATCTTATAGTAAGGACTAGAGAGGCCTTAGTTGAAATGTTCTTTTCGGCAGTCTTGAGCATCAAATGCAACTCTGAGATAGACTTCTCCCAATTATTCATATCATATTTCATGATGAATTGGTGAAATGAATTGGGGAGTGAGTTAAGGATCAAGTCCGTAACTAACTCAACTGGGATGGTCAATCCAATCCTCTCTAATTGGTCCACTAAACTCTTCATTTGGAGTACATGAGTACTAGCGGACGTCCCTTCCACCATCTTGCAAGCATGAAACGCTCTAACAGTTTCATAGCGTTGTTGCCTTGCTTGTTGCTGAAACATGTCTTTGAATTGAGACAAGATCTCATAAGCACCTAAATGTTTTGAATCCTTCTGGAGGTTTGGAACCATAGTGGCGAGCATCAAACAAGAGATATCATTTGAGTCATCAAAGTGCTTTGTCCAAGAATCACGTATGATTTTGGTGGCGTTGGTAGGGGGTTCCTCGGGAATGGGTCCTTCGAGAATGTACGACTTCTTCTCGTGTTTGAGGACAATTCTCAAATTACGATACCAGTCGAAAAAGTTCATACCATTTATCTTGTCTTTTTCTGTAACATCGGTTACGCTAACTCTTAATAAAAAGAAACTATTTATCTAAAAGATTTTCCATAAAACAATCTCCAAGCAAATACATGATATATGTTATAGATTTCCACCAAAAATAAAATAACGAAGCCTGCAACCGACGATTTTCGGTACTATAAGTCGGATCCAAAAATACAAATATATCTACCCAAAAGTATTATATACATTGATACAAATCAAAACGATATATGCACAACGAGTACCAAAAAGATATCCAGGATCTAGAATCCTACAAGCAGATCTAAACTGTTTTATCTTTCCCTTGGACAGCTACCGACCTTCCTGAAAAGAAAATTTATTCTAAAAAAAATAAGCGACAAGGCTTAGTGAGATTATACCAAAGCWTATAATTATATATTTTATAAAAAAAATAAAAATAATAGACGAAACAGAACAGAAAGAATCGCTTATTTGTGAATTAGACTGATAACTCAAAAATCTGCTATAATTTCACCCAGAGCGCGGTACAACCAGAGGCTCTGGTCGTCCAGAGGGCCTCTGGTCCCGAAAGACTTCCATACTTGGCCATTTAATCATAGCAGAAAACTTTGGATCTTTCATCCTTAACATACAGTGCTTAATAAGACTTTTAGGATAATTAAGATCAATTACAGCACCAAAAAAA